TATGTGATGTGATGTGATGCGATGTGATAATGTGACTATAGCATAAAATTAATGGTGCCGATATTTTGAGTGGTATGGTAGTGATTCAATGTAACCTGATGATCTCAGCTCTTTTACAGAGATGAAATGATGAGTAACGTGACGGTGACGACGATTATGACGTCATGAGAATACATATATAACAATTTAAAGATGACGATGATGACAATGATGATGAGGAGGGAGACGATGATAAAGATGCTGCTGTTGCTGCTGGTGGTAGTGGTGGTAATAGTGCCGTTGTGATGATGACGACGACGATGACTATGACGATGATGATAGCAATGATGACGATGATGATAGTGATGATTGTGGCAATGATGATTGCCAATATTTTTGGTGGTTGAAATCATATGAGAAACACAATCTTGTTAACACAAATCAGTGACAAATAATCACAAAAGACGATGCAGAGGCGTTGATCCATCTGCCGTTTTAACCATCCATTTATTTGTACATGCGATTTTCATTCACTCATTCATTTCTTCTTTCCCACGTTCATTCACTCAATTAATTCTCTCGCTCGTTCATTCATTTTTTTTCACTCAATCACTCAACGTGTTACCACTCAATCAATTTTCTTATTTCAATTTTAATTTAGAAATCTGGGAAAATAAATTTGAATTTTAAAAAAATGTGTCAGTTCATTTCAATTCATCTCATCACATCAAACACCACATCATATTACTTACATTACATCACATAACCACGTTAGTAAAATAGCATCAAATTACATTAATTACGCAAAACAGCATCACATCAGTCACGCTTTTTATTACACTAGATTACATTTCATCACATTACTCGGAGTCACATAAAATTTCTAAAAAAAGCTACAAAATCAACGTTATCACCAACAAAAACAACATCAACAATAACATCAACAACACAATAAACATTAAAAAACCACAATCTCCAGCAGAAACAACAACACAACAGCAAAACACTACAACAACACAACTAAAACATAACAACAATGCAATAACAACACAACAACAATATAACAACAATATAACAACAACAACATAACAACAAATCACAACAACATACCACAAAACAACCAATCACAACAATAAAATAACACAACAACAACACACCACAAGTGGCACTTTTGCGCGGGCACACCTCTAGAACCTCGCCAGCACACAGCACTGTATAAGATGTTTGTTCGTGTGAATAATTTAGAAGATGTTTCTACTTTATTGTCATTGTATTGCTTCCATTTGCCAAATTAACAATAACTTCGCAATTTCGAGCAATAAATGCACGTTGCAAGCCAGCAAGCAAGCAAGCAAGCACTCGGAGTTGTCTCGATAGATGCAATAAACATTTCCTCATTAAAATCCATCAAATTATCAAATGGACCTGGCGACAGATGGCACGTTATAGAGGTAACTGTCCTCTAACTTACCATTGAGCATTTGGAAAGTTATGTTTATTAATTGTCTGTACGTACGTAGTACTGTGGGAATAAATTCATGATCATTAATTCGACTGTTTGAATTTTAATTTTACTCTCTATGTTTGGATGCACTTCAGCTGTTAAATCATTATTAACAAATTTTATTTAAAATACATTTGTTTGAAATAAGTTGTTGTACAAGATATTGAAATTTTATTCTTGCAGGCGATTACTTCTTGTCAACGCAGTTCCAAAAATCACACCGTAAGCAATTTATTCGAAAAAATTCTTGTAATATTACAACTTTCAAAATAATCATTTTATTGTAATGAAAATTTTTTTAACTATAAATTAGAATCAATAAAACTAAATAATTATTAATTTAATGAATAATATAATTACATACGCATATAAATACATATATAAAAATGGGTATGTGCATAAACGTAATTGAAAAAAACTTCAGTGATAGCATTGTTGCTGGTTATAATGATCGCATGTCTGGTCGGAGTCATCATCTTCTTCTGCGGGTATTGTGCCATCAAAAAGTTAGAAGTGTCCTCATTAAAATAATTTCCTAATTTGTGCTTTTTTTTCTTTTTTTATTGCGACGCTAGGCACTTTCACGTCATGAACAAAAATTCACGTTTGGAACATTTCACTAAAAGATGTAGCAATAAATATAAATGAAACTCGGACAGGAAACCTCTGAACAGCACAGTCAACTTGAACGCCGAAGAGGCCCAGGACGCCAGCTACCATCCCATCAGCCAAACCATCATCAACAAAACATCTCAACAACTACTGCTCTCCCAGCAGCAGCAGCAAACCAGCTACTGCATCGACAATCTGCAAAAGCAGCAGCAGCAGCAGATGTACATCAGCGAGGAAAACGAGTACGCATACGTCGACGATCTCATACAGCAAACTGAATTTAAAAAAGAAAATTTGAAGGACGCCAGTCAGAAGTACAGCACTTCCAACTACGACGCACCCGGCAGGAATAAACCGCTGCCAGTGCAGATGAGTTATCAGATGATGAACCAGCAACAACATATTCAACAAATTCCACCACACATACAACAACACAACATGTTGCCAGCACAACAACACATTCAACAACCACTTCCACCGCCTGTTATGGCCAAACCACAAATGTATTTTGCGCCATCCAATGACGGAAGTATTTCCATATGAACTTTACAACATTTCATTCTCACTGTTTTATTAGTTAATTCAAATTTATTAAATTTAGCATGCATAATCAAAAACTCACAACGGCAGAGCATTATATTCAAATGTGTTTGAGAAAACACACGCACACACACACACGCGCGCACACACACACACACTTGTTTTTCTGTTCCTTATTGAACCCAACAAAGCACATACACAAATGTTAAAAATCTATTCTATGAGGGATTTCGTTATGAAAAAAAATCGAACTTCATGTTGTCTGTAAAATTTATTATTTCAAAGCATATTTTTGTACTGTGCGTTATGCATGAAACCGTTTTAATAAAGTATAAAAATGATAAATATTTCGAGTCCCTGCCCGGATTGGCCTCCCACTCCTGTATGCATTGGTTGAGTGGGTTGGTTGATTGATTGGTTGATCCAAGTTTTCTGTACAGTATATTATTTCATTGTACACCTTCATAATACATAATACGCAATTCATGATACTGTTCGAATTGAGAATGAATGTACGTATGATAAATTGAAAGACAGAAACTCTATAGCAGAAAGTATAAATAAAAATCAATTAAACATAAACGTTTATCATTAGCTGACTGTCAGTTTCGTCTCTAGTTACAAATTCATCAAAATGACAAATACAAAACTAATAGGAGTAGTATTCCAGCTTGACATTAATAAAAATAACACGTGTAATCAGACCATATTGTATAAAATACGAGTTTATTTCTTTGAATTTTTATCCATTTTAACAAAGGAGGCAGTGGTAGAGAAATATTTCATGTTGCTACTCGGATGTCTCGTCTCAGCTGCTTGTGGATTGACTATCTCCAAACCCTGCCGTGTCGTTTCAAATATGAATGTTTGATTGATTGATTGAATGATTGATTGATTGATTGATGGTTAAACTGATGGATTGTTGACTGATAGAAGGAATGATTGGTAGCTGATGAAAAAATTGCTGAGCAAGTCAAGTTAAACCAATTCTTCCAAAAAAGTTTAAGCAAAGTAAAATAAAGACCCATTAAATGAAACATATACCTGTCAATTGGTTGAATGTAAGCCATCGCGATTTTAATACACTAAAAAACATGAGACCAAACAATTTTTACAAACAACTTGAAAAAAGGATTAACAACATAATGAAAAATGAAATTTAACAGAAGAAAAACCTGCAGAGGAGTGAATGCCACGCTAGAAGCAGTTCCTGATATCTGCTTCTTCACAGTCGTGCTGCCTCCCCATACTTGCTGCTTCTGCATCTTTTGCTACAATTTGCATGAAATTTATAAAAATCAATATGCTTATCTTCAAACTGTAACTCGTTAAACTATATTTTAGTCTTAGTTTTGATGAAAAACAAACAAGATAATGTTAAACCGCCATTAGATAAATTTGTAGAGCACCGTTTCCATAGTGCCTTATACAGTTTTTTTCAATTTATTACAACCCACACAGTGTTATGATCAAATAGGAACCTGGAGAGTTTTAGAGATTCGAGCTTTGGTCTTTGAATCGATGACAGGTCCTCTGATGTGTCCTGTCTTATTCTTGCCTAACGTGCCAAGAGTCAGTCCAAGGTCCTCTTGGTAGGCATCCTCTTCAATCTGAAAAATTTGTAGATACGCAACTGAGTTGTTGTAACGCATAACGGCAGATCGTAATATTTTTTGTAAATAGTAAAAATGTTAAAAAAAAGTATTTTATTATTAATTTATAAAAATTATTCATAAAAAAATTTGAACTGGATAAAGATATGAAACAAGTACAATTCACGAACCTCTCCAAAAGTCATCCTGTTAGCTGCTTTCCGCATTTCTGTCAGACCTAATCTCTCCTTCATCTTACGATACCTGCACATATGATAACGAAGATGAACATGCATAAATTTTTTGCAAATAAAAAGAAACAGTACTCGAATATGAACCAGAAACGAAAAGTACCTTCGTCCACCTCTCTTCTTCCTGGGGTAATCAATTGGAGCTGGCAGTGGTTTGATCTGCTTAACAGGGGGAGGTTCCTGCAACTTGTCCAACTTTTGAATGACGTCTGACTTCATCGTCTCCCCAGCTGATCCGTCCATGTTTTCATGGAAACTATCGACACGAGAGGCCAGGCTACACTTGCCTGCCACCAATCTGGCTGCCTTCCTTCGCAGTTCCTGGCGTGCAATTAACAGTCATTATTACCCTCACCCTTATTAACCATCTTACATTCATTATTACGACATTACACTAACCGGCGGAGCACTTTGTACAAAGTCTGAAAAGTAGATGTATCCAGTGTGAGGCATGATGGCCTTTGTCGAGAAACCGGACAAAGTTCTCTTTTGGGCACCAAGTAGCAAAACATTACATGCTGGCATCTTACTCAAATGTGTTAAGCCTCCAGCAACACCTGTAAGGAAAACATTACATCAACTGATTCCGTGCTAATTCTACTAAAAATTTCAAATTTTTTGGTACTCTCGCTTAAAATTAACCAGCTCTCAACTAAAAAAAAGTTATAACATCAAGAGTAACAAAACCAATCCCAGCGAAAAAAACGACAAACAACAGCGGCCACAAAATGAACAACGATACAAAGTACACACCCATGAGTTTGGCAGCAGTTGAAGCTCCAATGATGACAGAGAGGTTCGGTGCAATGAATGTCATTCGAGACTCAACATACTCGTGAATCAACTGCTTGATTCGAACCAAGTCGATGGCCTGGAAGATTGTGACGATGGTGAGGGTGATGTTTATGATGAGAAGAGAATAGTGCAGATGAAGACCAAGTGGCTAATGATGAAAATGGAAATTTTATGAAACAGAATCACAAGATTTAGCTCAAATTAGTTCAAACACAGTTGCATAAGACAAAGAAAGACGAACAAACCATATCACAAGCATCCATGACCCGGTTCAAATCTTCCTTGGAAAGTTCTAGTCCCTGTGTGGTTGATGCTGTAACACTGACGACCATGATGGTGGCGGGAGAGAGGAACTCTTGAAGGATCTCGTTGTTCTTTGATTGATCTATATTATTCCTAAGTTCCTGTGTTGTGCATAAATACTCATATAGTCTGGTGCCAACACTTCCCAACATTTATTTCATAAACTCATTGACATCAATCATCATCTTTGCCTATAACAACTTTTAAACTGCATCATACACAGATGACCATTCAGTTACTTGACTCTTCTTATTCAACAAACATACATCCAAATTCACAAAAAAATAAAAAAAGAATAAAAAATGGCGTTATTATTCAAATTAAATAAAAAGAATCGTCATAAATAATAATATTATTGACAACAACATTAGCGACCAACCTTAATTGTTCGTACATATTCTATGGGAGTCTGAACGAGTGATTCAAGCTCTGGAAATCTTTTGTTGTACAAATCTCTCACATATTTATGAACAAGATCTATGTATTAACAAATTTCATCTAAGTAAGTATGAAAATTAATGTGTAACAAAATCAGTCAACATATCGTCTGTCTACAAGTGCGCTTACTAATTTCCGTATCGATTTCGACAGTGATGTTGTTGGCCTCGACTATCAACTTATACTCTGGATCTGCTTCAACTGGACCACACTCTGTAATGCAAAAAAATTACCATTACTTACCTCACATAGAATCTGTAACTAAAAGTTAACTCAGAAAAGAGAAATAATAAATTTCTAAGAATAATTAAACACAGCATCTTGTTTCCAGCAACATCTAATAGAAGAAAATAATTAAACAAATGCTTCCATGATGCCATGTTTCATTAAATCATTGATTGAACCATTTAGCATGCTTGGTAAGTGAGATTACAATTATGTTGGTTAGTTGGCATTTAAAATAAAGTTGTTACTAAGCAACTAATCTAAACAAACTTTCAGCAGATTTTGACAATTTTGAATAATGTTCCACCTCCTTCAAGATTCTGTTTAACTGTAAATATTTTATAATAATAAAATTGTTGAAACTCCTTTTTAAAAAATATTGTAAAAAATTTTTAAATTTATAAAACATCGCATCAGAAAAGAAAATAATTAAATATATAATATTATAATAATGAGATGAAAGATACTTCTTTACTGTCTCTCAGCTTAGCAATGCTGTTAACTGAGAGGTCAGCTTTGGCTTGAGGCATTGAAACATCTTGAATGTCGTTAACATCCATCTTTTCCTCCAAGCCAACATCCATCATCATCAAGTCGTCATCTTGATTGCCATCTTCCAATGCAGCTAGCAACTCATCGGCCAACGACATCTTCTAATAATCTATATAATAAAAAATCTTGAAACTAAATTCAACATGCTAAACAATCATCTGGTTTATAATTTTATATACATATGCATAGGGTATAAGATTGAATTAAAATTAAGCTAATTCATTTGTTAATAAATTGATTAATGATGCATAAGAGTTATTAACTAATATTATTTGTATCAGCTCATAAAAAAACTATTAAATTAAACTAACTGACTCAATCAATGAAATAATTTTTACAAATTGTAACTAAGTTTTTCAGTGAGCCATGCTCCCAACTCTATGTATAGCAAGGGGGAAGCCCTAGCAGAGCTGCTTAGCATGGTTTTTTTAATACAGCAAGTGAGAGAGATGAGATGATGTTGTCGTTGTGCATATGTAAAATTGTAAACATATCTATATAAAACTATATAGATAGGTTTGTATAACATTATATTACTATATTATTATATATATATACTATTATATTTTAGGGTGAGCTGAACTGATCTTTGGTTGTGCAATCAGGGTTCAAAAGTTAAGATAAGTGCAAAAGAAAAGTGAAAAATATTGACAATATCTAGTTATTTATAGCAGTGATAACCCAATTTCTGATTCAATTCACAGAACAGACAATCATGAAGAAGCGCAACATTAAATTTATAAATAAATTACAATAAATAAAATTAACAATAGAATAATTTATATGACAATAAATGAAATAAAACAAAGTAAACTAATAGAGAAAATTAAAAAAAAGCATGCAGTGTACAGAGTACCTACAACGTACATGAAAAAAATATGAAAGGCGAATAGAACAGTACGTACTTAAAACGACGACTAACTTTTTAGGTTTTAATTTCCTTCTAGTCTCTGGACGCAATATCAATAATATTATTTTATATTAAATATAATAAACAATCAAAAAGAATAACCAATATGAACAATATACCGTAACGCAACACAAATAATTTTATCTAAAAGTGCACACGGTATGGAAAGAAATCTGCTTTTTAATTCTGTTAAAACTTCGACTTTTATGTATATGCGAGTTCAGATTCTATTTATATGTGCGAGTTACATAGTATACATATACAGTTATACAAACATGATGAAAGGAGTTATTGTATGAATTCGTACTGTATTTTATGGATATATTATACATGCATACATATACAGTGAAAATTTGATTTCGTTGAATTTGGGCAGAGCTTTTATGGCTAGCTATTTTATCTACTGCTGTCTTTGTAAAGTTCTCAAGCTATGGACAGTGTAGGAAATCAAAGTTTGTTTTAATTTTTTTATTAAATTTAATAAAAACTAAAAATATAAGTTTAACCTATAACTACGACTGTTTGCTTATATATAGAATTAAACAAATTTATTTAATTATTAAATATTCCCAGCTGTCCATACACTACACGACTCGTTGGAAAGTAGTCTATCGTCGACAAATAAATACAAATAAATACCAATAAATATTTACATAGAATATAAAATGGTTATAATTAAATGATGCTTTTTAGTTTATAAAAATATAAATTCGCGTACATTTTTAGCACATTAAGTTAGCCTAGTAAACATTAAGTACGATTCTTAAACAACCAAACATTAATTTATTATTTTGAGTCCATGTCCTACTGTTTTTTTTTAGTTTAATTTATTATTTTAAAATTAAAATTTAATAATTAAATTTAATCTAAAAAACTAAATTCAATTAAATTTTAATTTAATTTAAATTTAATTTAAATCAATGAGATTGTTTAATAATCAGTTTCAGCGTAATTTTAACTTTTAATATAAATATATTATAAAATGATGGAACAGCTAGAAACGATTGAAGCTTTGAAACGAACCAGCAAAGGATGTGGATTATTTCGGAAACCAGATTCTAATAATAATAATGCTAATACTGTGAGATTGCTGAGTGTCATTTAAATTCCATTTGTTAATAATTAATTTAATATTTAATAATTCTAACTACTAATCTTCCTCTAATTAGTCTTTCTAACTAATGAATCATTATTATTGTTTATGTTTATTTATTTCATTTTATTGATGAGCAATAATAAGATAATTAATAGAATACCTAACACTAACTAAATGATGACAATAATTTATACTGTGTGTAGTGGTAATTACCATTAACTAAGTAATAAAAATGTATATATTGCAGTATTTTAAATTTTAAGTGAAAAATCAACAATGATATTAATTGCATTTTTAATCTACAACAGGTTCAATTCAAAAAGGATGATAGTGACACTATGCAGACAAATGACAAAATTAGGAGGTTGATTCCTATTTTAATTTAACTGTTTTTTTTTATAATTTATAATGTTAGATATGGCTAAATTGTGGTTTCCTGTGATTGAAGTGCATGTAATTTTTCATTTATTAAATTGACTATTTTAACTAGTTTGCTATGTTAATCATTTTCTTTAATATAAATAAATATTTTTTGAAATGTAATCTTTAAAATAACTTATCAGATATAGAGTTTTTTTAAAACTAAATTAAAAATCCTTATTATGCACTGATAGTCACAGCAAAAGTCCTGAAGTCATATGGAAGACCAATGCCGAATTAAGCACAGGTGATGAAAAGGAAAATAGGCAGAACACTTTGATGCAGGAATCCTCATCTGACAACAAACCGAAATACAATAATAATGATGACATCAATGACGATTCACAAAATTTTCTGTCCACTCCATTGAATAAAATCAGTCTCAGTGAATCTATCATTTCTTATTGCGACGAGGAGATTGATTTAAAAGTCAAGGTTTGTATAAATATAATTGAATTAATAATAATCATCATAATTATCCTAGTGATAATTATAGGATTTGTAATAATAATCATATTTTATAATACTATAACATGTATACATGTACCATGTCTATATAGATATACATATAACATTAAATAATCACAACAAAGATAGTTTTTGTTTTAATTTTTAGAATTTCATGTTGGCCAAACAGTCTGATCTGGAAAGAAAAGAAACAAAACAACGGGAAAATGTACTGGTAGAAAAAAATGTACTGCAGGAAAAGGTTCAGAAGAAAATATTAAAGATACAAGATGAAGATAATGATTTTGAAAGGGCATAGTTAGTAGTTTAATTATATTCTCCATCGGAGTTGAAATTTTATATGAATTAATTTATAAACTGTTTAATATTAATTTTTATATTATTTTTTTATGTTAATTTATTTCATTTTTTATTAAAATTAATTAGTAATGAAGAGTTGATGGCAACACAAAATCAACTGAAAGAAGTTCACAATCGTCATGCACAGGTAATTTGAAATATTTTTAAAATAACTCAATTAATTTAATTACTTCAATTTACTTAAATAATTAATTTTATTAAAATAATAAGTTGTTTTCAAATATAATCAAATGATAATATAATAAATAACATAATAGTTAGTACAATGATTTGATTAAATTAGTAAATTACTTCAACAATTTTTATTTTTTCAGCTTTTAAATAAAAGAGATTCAGATGCCCAGAAAGATGCCCTAAGGTTAGAAATAATCACCATATCATTAGATCATTTTTGTTTTAACTTTACACGAAAAATTTTCAGCTGACCTTAACATTGTCACACAGCTATGTTAATGCCTAATGTTACTCTTTAAATTTATTAACTTTATTTTAACATGATAGGAAGGAACAGGAAAAGTTAGAGCAGAAAGTTGTGAAAGGAAGAAAGGAGGTTCACAAGTGTATAGAGGAGATGAACAATTTGTTAAAAGTTCACAATTTCACCGATAATTTACCACCACCGGTCGGTTCCTGCGTTGACGTCTTGAAGCAGATTAGCGATAAAATAGCTGACATAAGCTCTCCCGCTACGTTAACCGATCTCGACGCTCGGAGTGTTGCGTTTTTGTCAGCTGAAGCCAAAAAAATCATTGCCATTGCAGAGACTCTAATTGGTAAACATTGTATTTTCCATGTCCAGTATTGGTACGGATATTTATTTGAATAATAATCTTTATGTGTCAAAAAATTTTCCTTCATTATAACATCATTTTGTGAATTCACTTAACCAAGTTATTAAGTTATTTAATTTGAAATTATTTGTTTAAATTACTGGAACAACATGTGGTAATTAGTTGAATCACCTTATTGTCAACATTAAGTAACCGTTAGATAATTTAAATTTAAGATTTTTTTTTGTCATAATTAGCATGGATATGTCACTAATGTAATCTCATTATAAAAAATACGCTTGTGTATATTTGAACCACAATGTTTTCTTCAACACACTTCAAATTGTAACTTTTTTTTCAAAATTCATATTGAAATGTCTACTTCAATCCTAAAATGTTTTTAAAATTTAAATCTTGTCTAATCTAATCTAATTACTAAACTAGCCTTTTTTGAGTTTTAATTTAACTAACTTTAATACTATTCTAATTTAATTTTAACAACTCAAATTTTTAAAAATTCACGTTTAAATATGTATTATTTTTTTATTGTAATGTTTTTTAAAAAACTAAATTTTTTTTCAGATGTCTCTATTTCAAAATTTAAACAAGTTTTGCATGTAAAATTTGATATAATTTTTTATTTAATTTTACAAATTATTGATAATAAATCAAATACTCTTGTTATTTCATCAGTGGAAGCTTCTAGAAAAAGATTAGAAGAAAAGATCAAAGAATCTGAAAAGGTTACCTAGGAAAATTTTTTACTTTCAATTCATTTTTTACTTTCAACCCTGTGAATTTATATTAAAATTAATATTAAAATTAAATAGCATGAATTATGTTATAACTATTGTAATTTAATAAAATCTTTCTTAGGCTGTGCACATTAGGAGCAGTACAGCAGCAGAAGTAGCAACAACATTCACAAAAACTACATCCGCAAAAACTGCATCAAGTGCAGCACCGCAAGTATCTTCTAGATTATCACCGCAACCAGCTAACCAGTGTCGGGCTATATACATGGAGTTCTTGAAGTTATTAAACAGTGTTGAAATGGACTGCAAAGAATTTGAAGAGGATACAGTGGTATTGTATATTTTGGTTTCTTTTTGAACGTATTTTATTTTATCTATTCGTTTGTTGATGCATAATTTGTTTTTTTATATGAAATTTGATCATTTATGAACGCTTTTGTTATTAACAGGAATAAATTATTTGATATATAAAATGATGCAAATGTATTTTTTTAAGCTGAAGAAATATAGATTCAGTCTAATGAAAGCAGTGAGTGAGAATGTCAACACGATAAACAATAATGAACCTGGCCATTTGCATGACAAAGTCGAAAAATTCATCAGGTAGGTTATGAAACGCCTGTTCATATCTAGTTATTTTTCTGAAAAAAGAAATAAAATAAAACGCAACACTATCATCATTCACTGACACAGGTTGTTGGAGGGAGGCACGATCGGCGTCAGTGGCGATCAGAATGTTTCCACACGGGATCATCCTGTTGCCAGTTTATATTGTTTAAACAGACTGGCCAAAAAGCTTGTGGTTAGTGGTCTTATTAATATTTTAGATCTTTTTTATAAAGTCTGGTACATTATATGCGGCAGATGTTAACAAACTATAATGTTATATATTTTGCTTTAGAATCAAGGAGGTGAGTTGGTTTCATCAAGGCCTGAAGCTGCCTTCATATATTCGCCAGTAGTTGTGGGATTGTGGTGCAAGTATCCCATATTTGGCAAGCTCTTCCTTGTTCACCTGGCTCTCAAGTGCCCTTTTCTAGTGCCTTACATAATAGAAAGGGAGGGAAAGTCTGATTTGGAGTATTTTCAGTAAGTCTATATTTCAATTTTTATTCTATGTTGTAGATATCCCTGATCAATGAAAATTAAAAATTTTTGTTTGAATTGTTATTTAATTTCGTTAAAATCTTTAAACGATGAACATACATATTTGTTTCTTCAGGATGTTAGGATATGACATAAGCGACAATGGTGAACTTGAAAAAGAGAGCTTATTTCTTAAACGTTTTTCAGGTTACGTAACATTCTATGCTGCCGTTACTGTCTCTCAACCTCCGAGCAACCACTTATTGGGCAGGAAAATTAAACTACAATCTCCCCATGGTCTGCAGAACGCGTGGACCTGGTTGGCCAGAGTTCTAGGGCAGCCTCCCATTCAGGGAATCACGCCAACAGCGCTCCACAGTTTTTTGGAAGTCGTCGGCTTTGAGATGGGCAGATGTTACGGAAAACAATTTTTCAAAATGTTGCAATTTTTAAAATTTATTTATTTACCTGAAATTAAAAAAGTTACGACAGACAGCGATAAAATTGCGCCTTTGGAGCGCTTGCGATTGTTCGTGGATGGAGCTTTCTCAAAAGGAAAAATCGTTCGCCATCCTGGCTTGAAAAAAATGATTAAATAAACTTCTTGTGATAAGCTTTGTACTTTCACTTTATGTAACATTGCGATATAATTCATGGTAACTACATGGTGTTCCAATTTAATCAATCAATCTTCGTTTAGCGTCCAGAGACCCTGTTCCCGAGGTAGGACGATGAAGTTCCAATTTACTATATGAATTTTTTTGAAAAATTTACTTTTATTACAATTTTTTGTTAATTTTGTTTGAAGGATACTTTAAATTCATACATCTATCTGTCACTTATGTGGTTTATTAAATATAAGTCTAGATGATTTATTCATTTGTCAGTCAATTGCAATTGAACAAAACTGAATTTAAATGGATCGTGTAAAAATAATTGATGAAATTATGCAGGCAGTTATTTGATATGATTTAAAATATATGAATCTCAATCATAGATATATATCCATGCTATCAACATGGGTATCTCTTCATTTTTGTAATATGTCGTTGACGTTCCATAGAACGATTTATTCTCATTTTTAATTCGTGTCTGTTTTATTTGTTTGTTTGTTACCCATCTTCCTAGCGATTTAAAATAAGCGTTTGAAAAATGTTACGACGACAATTTTGTTTCCTAACCACCACGATTTTGTTATTCGATTTAACTCTCGGATTTTATTTACCCGGGTTGGCTCCAGTCAACTTCTGTCCGAGCAGCCCCACAGACGTTTCCTGCGAGGTAGGTAACTAACTAGTAAAAATTTTACTGTAAAATGGATGATGATGATATGCTAGGATAGGATAGTTGATTGATGATTGGTAGGAAAAAGTAGGATGGAAATTTTGATTTTATATTATAATTATATTGTAATTATATTATTACAAATTATTATAACCCTTTCATTTGTTGATGAAGAATGATAAAAGATGAAAAATTAAAAAAAAATCTTTATCTTTTTATTGAAAAGATGTTTGTTAATTAAATTGTTTAATTAAACCAAATGAATCAATTACTTAATTGGATACTTTTTGTAATTTTTACAACTGATCAATTAGTTATAAGTTATTTATTTATTTATTAAGTTATGACTTATGTACTAAATTTTGTATGGTTTTCAGTTCTGAATTCTAGATTTTTAGTTAGGATGTATTATTAGCCTAAAATTTTATTTTAGGTTAAGAAGAATATTGTTTAATTATTCAGTTTTGTTTTTAATTTTATTTATTATTAATGAGAAAGACTTTTTAAAAATTAATAATAAATTAATAGTTAATACTTACTTACTAAGTTACTACAGTACTGTATATAATATAATTAAATAAAGTGTTAGTTCAGCAGAGTCTCTTCTTTATAAATAAATGTAGTAATCTAATTAATATCAATAAAATTTAACATTTCACCTTACTTTTTTCTGAATTATTTTATCCAATGTATTAAATTTATTTTTCAGACCGAAGTCAAAGTATATGTTAACAGATTGAACTCCATAGAAACTGCTTTGCCATATGAATACAATCAGTAAATTTATTTTAGATTAATGAATTTCTAAAAAATGTTTTTTTTAAATATTTATTTTTTTCAGTTTTGACTTTTGCCCTACTCCTGAAAAAGAGGAAAGTCCTGTTGAGAACTTAGGGCAGGTTGTCTTTGGGGAAAGAATCAGGCCATCAGTATACAAAGTATGTTTTTTTTAGTTGCTTGTTTTTATTTTTTTCATTTTATTTATTTGCTTATTATTTATTTATTTACCTATTAATTTATTTAGTACTTAATTTATTGAATTCTTAATTATTTCAGTTCAGTTTTGGTCAGAACTTTACTGATCGAGCAGCCTGTGAGAGTAGAAAATATAAAGTTAATGCTGACGACAAGCGGAAGTTGCAAACAATCTTGGATGGCATTAAGAAAAACTACAAGCACCACTGGTATAAAATATGTTCACATCATTCTTTTCCTACAATTTGATCAGATTTAATGATCAATATTTAATGGAGTTCAATTTTCAAATCAACATAATAACCACAAAGCACTTTGTTAAGAGCCACATGCAGGCAGTATTTGATTTGAGTTTACAATATCAAAAAGAAAAGATTTGAATTTTGTTTTAAAGTCTGGCAGAAATTTGCTGGTTCTAGGTTCAAATTAATGTTTATTGGTACCTAATGCCAAAAAACTGCCACTGTAAAGTTTGATTTGGCTTTTGAACATTAAGAAAGCAAGATGAAGAAGAGTTTTATTATGTTCATTAGAATAAATGAGACTGCAAATGTGAGTTGCTGGTTTAGAATTTGAAAAGTAAGGAGAGCATGTTTTTAAATAATATGCAGTAGTATTAGAAACCAATGAAGTTATTTGAGAAATGTGAACATTTGACTGAATTGGATGCATAATTTTGTTTAGCTTTGCATGATATGATTCAAATTAAATAAAATTGTTAATGCACCTAAAGGATAATTGACAACATGCCTGTAACTTGGTGTCGCACATTGGCTGACGACCCATCTAAGAAGGTATGTGAGCCTGGCTTCCCAATAGGATGCTACACGAAACAGAACAAGAACGTTGATTGCCCTCTCAGTGTTTGTCCCTTTCTTTTGCTGCTGTCACATTAAACTTTTCTCTTCATTAATCAAAATTGTTATATTTTATAATCGATCATACACTTTGTTATTTAATTTTTCATTTTTATTTACAATGAAATAATTATTTTTATGGAATTTTTATATTCCCAAATTTATTTACTGTTTATATCACAATATCCAATTGTGAAATACACTGCTAACGTCATTTCATTGCATAGATCATTAAATTGATTGTATAATAATTCATTGGTTCAATTAATTCTGTATAACCTAACAAAATTCATGAAAATTAAACATACAAACTCGTGAAAAATAGTACGAGAAGCTTGAGAAAGACACGCATTACCTGTTCAATTATGCCCACATAACCATTCAATACCACCCAAAAGAAAATGATTGGGGTAACCAAGCCAACAAGTTGCCAGAAGGTGCTGGCAGATTGGTGGGGGCCTCAATCGAGTTGGATAGGTTTGTAGGGTTGGGGTTAGGGTTTGCCTCTTCTTTTGTTTTGTGGGTATCATTGTAGATGTGAGGTAATGTAGCTGTTTGGAGTTGCAATTTATATTTTGTTGATATGTAGTAGTTGTGCCTAGTTGCTGTTTCAATTCTGTTAAAAATTTCTTTGTGTTGGAAGAGTATTTATTTGTACTTAAAACGATGTTACAATGTTTGTTAATGCGTTAGACAGATATGAGACTTTATTCTGCTTTCAAGATTGTTGCATTTATCTTTGTTTTGAGTTCAAATAAAATATTGTATTGTTTTGTATTGTATTGTGTTGTATTGTACTGTGTTGTATTGTATTGTATTTTATTGTACATATTCAACAGACATCATCTCCTACCCCATCATTATTACACATTTACATTCTCGTTAATTTTGCTCTCATGTTACATCATCCAACCCTACCCAGCGTTGATTTCTCAGTGAAGGGTAAAAGAGTCCCTATGGCTCTACCCGAGAAGATTGATAAAGAATTTGCAATCACCTACAAATATGGAGTCACTTTTATTGTAAATAAATAATTTTCCTCTTCAATTTCTTAATTGTTTTTCCTATTTTATAAGAATGTTATAGTCTTCACATGTACAATTTATTTCACGAAAATGATTATTTCTAATTGCTTTATAAAGGTGAATTCAAACACAAAATGGTCATCGAGATGGGACTACATCTTGAACTCGACACCTCACACTGAGATTCAATGGTTCAGGTCTGTCTAGTTTTTATAATGTGTGTGCGTGTGTGTGTCTGTGCATGTGTGCATTTGTTTTTTTATTCATTTCTCCATTATCAACATAACCATTCATCATTAATTACGGCCCACCAAAAAAATATAGCTATTATTAATTAATTCATTCATTCATTCAATAAGTAACTAATTAGCTAACTAGTTAACTAACTAATTGATTACTTAAAACAGCATATTGAACTCTGTGGTGATTGTCATCTTCTTAACTGGCATGACGGCCATGATTCTGCTGAGAAATCTTCACAAGGACATTGCTAGGTACAACCAGATGGACAATTCCGTTAGTTTTGCATCCATTCATCCATCTATCTGTCTATCTGTAGTCTTTCTGTCTGTTTATATCTTTGTCTGACTGTCTATAATAAATATTAGTAATTATGTTAATTATTACAGATAATAATTAATAATAATAGAAATGGTAGTGCTAGTAGTGTTAATGAGAGCAGTAGTAGTGCTAATAGTAGTAATTACGATGTACCACTTAATAAAGATATATTGATTTTTTTTGAGTTGTGTTTCCATTGCTGTATGTTGTCATTGCTGTGAAATTATCTAGGAATTATTTTCTATAATATTGGTTCATAATTTCCATAACATTTTCCATAATATATTTCCATATACTAGTACCAATCACATTACATTTGAATGCATGCATATTGTATTGATACATGGTAACAAAAGTAGTAAATAATATTACTTACAAGTATAAGAAATTATTGACTGTAGTATGAAATTATATTACAGATGTAAAACTTAAAACTATTGGATGCAGTAAATAAGTAATAGGAACATAAAAATTTTCTGGACACATTTTTTACTCTGATTTTTTAAAGAATAACAATAATTAAACATACATCAGGAAGAGGCTCAAGAGGAATTTGGGTGGAAGTTGGTTCATGGAGATGTCTTCAGAGCCCCTCGTAAAGGAATGTTCCTCTCCTTGCTGCTGGGTAGTGGAGTGCAGATATTCTTCATGACCATGATCACTCTTGGTTGGTTGGTTTTTTTCCTGCCAGACTATTTTTTCAAATGTTTATTTGTTAGTTTTTTAAACTTGATTGATTTGTTCATTTTTTTTCTGTGGGCTTATCCCCTGTTCACAGTCCTAGTTGAATTGTTTTAATGTTAAATTTCATTGTTGCAACATTTATTAATTATCCTGCAGTAATCTTTATTGCAATAATGTGTCATTAACATTTTCCCGAACAGTTTTCGCATGCTTAGGATTTTTGTCACCAGCAAACAGAGGAGCGCTAATGACGTGCGCTCTAGTGCTCTACGTCTGCCTCGGTACACCAGCTGGTTACGTTTCTGCAAGGATATACAAGCGTATGTTTTCTATGTTATTCCTTTGTTTAGGTTCATTCTCATGTTTGCGATATGTTCTAATGTGTATTTTCTGGCCTCTGTTTAATTATGCCTTACTTTTTTCTGCAGTATTCGGTGGTGAAAAGTGGAAGAGTAATGTGATACTAACTGCTCTGTTGAGTCCCGGGTTTGTATGTCGTAGGCATTTTTTTATTATTTGTTCTTTAGCTTTTGTTTCAGTTAATTCAAGATTTATCTATTTCTTTCAAAAAGATGAATCTGTTGTACAATTGAGTGTATATCTATGATGTTGAAAAAAAGCTGAAAACTTGAGTATTTATTATTTTACTTAAAATTACTGAAGTTCTAGCTAACCAACCCATCCCATTTTCTATTTAAATACAACTTTTATCAATACAGCGCTGAATGTTTAATTGTATCTGTCTACAAGTAGCTGTTGTGCACTAGTAGATACAAATGAAATTCACACATGTGCGATTGTGATGTGCAAATATGTACAAGCACCTACATACATGATTGTTATAAACGCACTACGTACAGAATCGTGTTTGGAATATTCTTCATCTTGAATCTGGTCCTGTGGAGTCTGGGTAGCAGTGCAGCCATCCCATTTGGTACCCTGGTGGCGCTCCTTGGTCTCTGGTTGGGAATCTCTGTGCCATTAACTTTTGTCGGAGCTTACTTTGGATTCAAGAAGAGGGTTTGCAATTGCAATATTTAATGTTTTTATTGCTGTGCCTCTTCAGTGTTTTGGTTTTGTTTTTGGCAAGGAAAGTTGTTTAATATTCAAAAGTGATTTATTTTGTATATCAAGTTGTGCAATTTTGTAGTTACAGAACTGTACTCTGAATTGCAAATATGTGCTTTGCTGTGTATTTTCTATTTATCATGGACAATTTTAATGATGTTGTTATAAATTTCAAATCTACCAGTTACCGACTGTATTAACCATGAAATAACAAACCCTAACCAATCAACTGCCACATATTTAGGTCATTGACCTTCCAGTGCGAACCAATCAAATTCCTCGTCAGATCCCGATCATGTCCTTCTACACTCGTCCACTTCCTGGGATCATCATGGGAGGCATCCTCCCGTTCGGCTGCATCTTCATACAACTTTTCTTCATCCTCAACAGCATCTGGTTTGAAATATTTTTTCACTCTTCATTCAGCTTGTATCATTCAGTTTTTGGTGTTTATTTTTTTATATTCATACTGCTATCTCTCTATTTTTTCATTATCGTTATTATTGATAATTTTTGAACAGCTAGATGGTGTAAGTGTTAAGATGTCTTGCTGTTGCAATGTGTATGGTGCATACACTCTCTCTTTCTCTTCTCTCTCTCTTTCTCTCTCGGTGTGTGTGTGTGTGCGTGTGTGTTTTTTTGTTGATACTTCCTCTGAGAATTATTTATGAGAAAATAATTATTTGCATATGTGTGTGTGTATTATTCTGCCAGGTCTCATCAGATGTATTATATGTTTGGATTCCTCTTTCTCGTCTTCATCATCCTCATCATCACCTGCTCCGAGACAACCATCCTACTCTGCTACTTCCATCTCTGCGCCGAGGTCAGCTGACTGCCTGCCTGGCTGTTGAAATGTGTTAACAAAAATTATTATATTACTTGCTTGTCGTCAATTAGATTGAATTCTTATTAAGCAATTTCTTTGTCTGATTATTTTATTTTGTCTCTTTTTCTTTTCTTTCTCTCTTTCTCTCTCTCTCTCTCTCTCCTCTCTCTCTTGCTGTCGTTGTTATCCTTCTTCAATCTTTCATTTTATTCATTTCTTGCATATTTTACCAATCTGCGCGTGCCAGAATTTGATTTTTTAAGAAAACAAAAATCTACTACCGCTATTACTGCTACCACTACTACTACTACTAATAATAATGATAATAATAATAACAATAAGAAGGAGAAATAATTATAGTAATAGTAAAGATAATAATAATAATAATAATAATAGTAATAATAATAATAGGATTATCACTGGTGGTGGCGGTCATTCTTGACCAGCGGGTCAACGGCTTTCTACTTCTTTCTCTACTGCATCTACTACTACGTCAGCAGACTCGAGATGGAGGGATTCGCCAGTGCATTCATCTACTTTGGCTACTCCTTCATTATGATGTTCATCTGCTTCCTACTTACTGGTCTGTCATCGTTGTTGGTTTCTTAGTTGTTGTTGCTTGTCTATTAGTTGTTGTTGCTTGTTGTAATTTTTGTGGACGTTTTTGTTGTTTTGGTGGTAGGCAGATGTTGTTGTTTTTGTTGTTGAAGTTGTTTTTTTTTATTTGAATTAGTTTGGTCGTCGTTTTTCCTGCTGTTTTTTATGTTTTTGTCATTCTGGACGGAACGTGGAATGTTTCATTGTTGGTGTTTGTTTCAGTTTTTGCATTTAATATCTTTTTTATTATACCATTTCAACCACTAATATAAATTACAATGGTAATAAATTATTTCAAATTTTGATTTAATTATTTTGAAATTGTTTGTTATCTTTTTTAGGGACCATTGGATTCTTCTCTTGCTTTTGGTTTGTCACTAAAATCTATGGAAGCGTCAAAGTCGATTGAAGATAAATAGATAAATTGATTGGTTGGTTGATTAGTAGGTTAGTTGATTAGTAGGTTAGTTGATTAGTTGGTTGATTGATTGATTGATTGATTGACTGACTGACTGACTGACTGACCGACCGACCGACCGACCGACCGATCGATCGATCAATCAATTGATTGATTGATTGGTTGATCAGTTTATTGATTGATCAGTTGACTGGTTGGTATATAAATAATGATTATAAATGGTTTGGTATAATTTACAATTCCGACGACGATGATTGAACGATTAGTCATTTGCATGTTGCTAACGCAATTTTCTAGCCATCGGTTTGAATGGTTGTCTGAATGCTTGGATGTCATTTCATGATTAAACTGTTATCTGAATAATTATTCAATTAATATATTGCAATATAATATAATATTATACAAATAAGGTTATTTACATAATGAGATGTAAACAAGCTATTTACAAAAAATTGTAAAAAAACATTTACTGGTCAATTAGATCCTTGAATTTTTGAAGATGAGATTGAAATTCAGGCACATTGATTTATTTTTGTGTATAAATATTATTAATAATTATCTGATTCAGCACACCAATTTATGTATTAATATTTATTTGTTTATTAATCAATTAACTAATTAATTAATTCATTTATTTATTTATTTATTAGAATAATTTCATAAATGGGATGAATTTATTTTTATTTAATTAAAAGGTTATTTTGCAGTTTATTTTGCATAAAGGGTTTATGATTTCTTTTTTTAACAGTTAATTGTATATCTAAATGTATGTGTATATGCGCGTTTGTATTGAAATCCACTGTTTGAAATTGCGTATCGTCGTGAAATGAATTTCTTCAGATCTTTCTGTTACCTTTCGACTAATTGCTTTAAATTTTTATAATTGTTAATTTATTTATTTATTATGCTGACGAAATTGGTGTTGGCTGTTATTTCTTAAATATTTAAAGTCAGTTGGATTTGTTTGAGTGTAAATAGGGTTTCTTATGATGAAAGTTGAAAAAAAATTGTCTTCATGTTTCAATTTAAGAATGCAACGTTGGAAGAATGACGATATTGACACAATTAATTGAACGCTGGCTTGTGTTGGATTTCATTTTCATTTCTAATGAAAATCATTCAGAAAAGTTGACTTGAGTGTGTTTTGTTGTAAATTTATTTTTTATCAAATGACAAATTTGCTGCAGCATGCCGGCCGACAAATGTTTTTCAATCAGGCGTTCAGTTCAACTTTGGCTCGTAGCATCAGTTTAGTCGTCACCAGATCTCGAAATTTTTCCTAGACGCGTTTTCAAAAGAGCAACCACGTTAACTAAATGCTTGCGACTGAAATTTCATCGACCCTTTTATTGTTCTATCGTTTTCGGATGGCGTTTTCTTAAAAAATGGTGAATGCGATGCAGGCCCTTCTATACAAAAGAATCGATTTGTTCTGAAGTGCGGGAAGGATGATGTAGGTGACAATAGGCATGGAGGCTCATGAATATTCATAAACTTAAATAACGTCACCTCCCTACCCACCATTGCTTAACTTTCATAAAGTATTTTTTTTATTTGGACTGCCACGTCACTTTCTTAACCCTACTTTGCATTCATATTACAATCTCTGATCGAAATATCTTGTACATCGAGGAAATTTTTACGGTACAGCGCCGAATGAAAATTTACTTCTACTCACCTTCTACAAGATTGAGCGTTGCATAGCTTGACATGAAAACCACATTTTAGGCTTAGAGTTTGTCATGCATCTAACGTGTACCTACGTATCTGTTTGGAGTGCCTCTTGGATTCTTTTACATTTTGTCAAAGTTATTAAGAAAATAATTATTTAGAAGCAAGTATTTTTGCAATGTTATCCAGTCAAATATTTTATATCATATTTTAAATGCCAAAAGGAAAGAATCGATAGAATGGATAGAGTCAGCAGGCAGATGATAAAACGTTGATGAATGTTGAGATAATAATTAGAACGTAATCGCCTACCTACGCAGCAATCATCATCCGCCCATTGAACGACAGAATCGATCGTGCAGTTAGTTACTATTGTAATATTGCTTCTACCAACACTCTTCATTGTACATGTTAATAATTCTCTATTGCAAATTTATTTTTTTAGTTTTTGAACCTAATGAAAAAGAGAGAGAGAGAGAGAGAGAAATAAGTTGATAATGTATTTAATAACTCACTTGTTTATTTATAAATAATTTTTACGACCTTGCCTTACTTAGCGGTTATTTAATTTTAATCGACAAATCAGTACAATGCAGACAAGTACAACTGTTTATTAATAACATTTTGTGATCTCTATGAAAAATGACAATGAAGAAGAAGTGTTCAAAAGGACATTTTTCAGTGCCTCTTGAGAGTTGCCAGGAAACATGTTTCTGAAGTTTTCCTTTTCAATCTTTTGATTATATCGAAAACGATTCAATTGTGTACAATATTGAAAATGTACAGTGCGACGCATCCTACATTTACAGAGTTTCCGCTCTTTTTCGCTGTTTTCGTAATTTTACCGATGACTTTCAAATCATACAGACTAAACTTTCGAAGACTAACTTATGCAATATACATAATATTAAACAGATTACATTAAAAGTTGTAAAAAATATATCGAATTAATTCATTAAAATATTTATGAATTAATAAAAATTTAAAGCTAATTTGACTTTTTGTTGGAATATACAAAGTTAAAAAAGTGAAATGTATTAAAATATAAAAGGCAAGATATGCTACCGGTTTTCCATGCATCTCGTTGCAACGAAGGTTGGCCAATTTCATGCTGCCTGTGACATTCCGTTTCGTTTCATTTTGTAAAATGTGTGTGGAAAATTGAATTTGATTATGATATAAACGTAAGAAAGATTAAAATTTTTATTTTTACACGGGATATATCTCTTCCATCTACTAACACTACGAAAACTACTACTTCTGCTATTGCTGCTGCTGCCACTACTACTGCTGGTGATATATTTGCTGCTACTGCTATTACTATCTTATAGTTTATAATACTACTACATCTACTAATACTGCTACTAAAACTACTACAACTGGTATCTATCTTCGTAGTAGCCATCGATATAGTCGCTATCATTATCGTTCCCGGCAGGATCAGCTTTGTAAAATCGGGATCGGTCGGATTTGTTGGATGGTTTTTGGAATTGTTTCTTTTTATTGTGTGTGACGTCGTAAATGTCGTCATCATTATCGTCGTCGTCATCATCGTTAATGCTTTCATTCGTTTTATTGCCGCTAACGATACGTTTTTGATTTTTATTTATTCTTTCACGGTCATTATTTTGTAAGTGTTTTCTTGCCTGACTGCCATCGTTTGGCGAGCGATGATGAGCACCTATGCGAATTTCATTAGCCATGTGATCGTTAGCTGTCCCGTAATAATAACCATCTTCGTCTTCCAATACATTCTCACTCTCCTTACCTTTACCTATTATTTTATTCACTGTAGCATCTCTGTAGTGATCAGCGTGTTTGCTTTTGGGAGCATCAGTAATGAGTTTTGTTGAATTTCTTTTCCTGTTCTTGGGAATGGGATCGTTGATGTCGTCAAGATAATCAATGTCATCATTGCAGCTACTTTCCAAGTCAAAATGTTTTATCATTACCGAATCGTTGAATGTCAACTTATCGCTCTTCCTACTTTTAAATTTATCATTTTCATCTTCATTAGTTTTTGTTTTTTTATCATTTGATTTAGTCGACTGAAATTTCTTACCAACGTCAGTTTTATTTTTTGACGATCCAGCCAGCATACTTCTGCTGTCATACTTTCCTGCTTGCTCCGTCTGCTGTTTGCCGTTCAGTTTCAAAGGAGGAACACAATTAAACTTCTCATCAACGTTACTGATTGATTTTTTTAAATTTTTTTCTTGAATTGTTTTCTTGCTTCGGATGTCGTTGTGATTATTTCTGGCGTTTCCTTCCGTACTCGTGGCCTCTCTTCTCGTGCTCCTCGATGAAGATGCCAACTTATCGGCCTTCTGAGTGCTTGAAACTTTTGTGCTGTCCTCAAAACTATGGTGTCTGTCAATTTTTTTCTTGTTGAGTGATGCATCGTTGCTGATGTTGTTGACGATGTTGAAGTTGTTGTAATTGTTGGTGATTTGATCTCCTTGAGGCTTCTTATTAATGTACTGATCGTTCACTTGGATTTTCGGAATGTTTTGGACGGGTCTGGGCGAATTGTAACACAAATGAGTGAAATATTATTTCAAAATAACATTAGCAAAGTAAGAGAGGTAAGTGTTTTACAAACTTTTCCTCCTTCTCGATTATTGGTTCTACGCGACTATCTACAATTTTAAAACGTTTTTTGGAGTTTATATTACATAAAAATTTATTGAATTTGAAAAAAATAATGATTTATAATTTATTCATTGATAAGTAACAATTAAAATTTCATTATTCTTTAGAACATGTTTGATAAAATGATGCTACAACAAGTAGTTCGTTTGGTAGCAGAGTGATATAATGTGTCATGCGCGGGAATGAAATGAGCTGGATGACAGTGCAGGCATGTCAACTGATGAATAAGTGTCAACGCGTTATTGTACCCTGCTTTGTTTAAAAGGTACCGAGAGGTGCCAATAAACACTCCTAAATTTTCATTAATTGAAAGATTGACTTTGAAGTTATTTTCGGGAAATAATGAAAAATAATTTTGTCACAAATCTATTTTAAAGAGTTTCGTTTTAAAACGTTTGAGGCGAATTTCAAAAAACAAAAGCCTCCTCACCTTGATAATCATTTTTCTTATATTTACAGACGAGGAATATGACAAAGGCAAGGATAAAAATGAGAATGAAAACTCCAACAACTATTCCTCCAATCAAAGCTGCGTTACGAGAGCTTGAAAGTACTGCATCTGATTTTATTATTAATGAATAAATGAATAAATTGATGAACGAACGAACGAATGAACTAACGAAAGAACGAATGAATGAATGAATGAATGAATGAATGAATATATGTATATAACCGTCATATAATTTTAAAATGTTTTTTTGAATAAAATTATTTTTATTTCGCAAAGGATGTACACAGCACACGATTTGCATGTAACCTTCAATCACTGCTGTTAAATTTCCAGAAAATTTTTTTATTCTAGGATGTTTTTTTTCTGAAGAGCTTTTAAAACAGCACTTTGTGCAACATTTTCGTATACAAGTAGGTACACACAGATCACACAAACACGCACGCACGCGCACACACGCACACACATCTCCATACATTATTTATAAATTGTAAATTAAGTTTGTTTTTATAATGTTATGTCTAAAATAAAAAAAATAATACTCAAATTTGTAGTAATTCACTTTTAATATTCGTTCATTCATCTTATAATACTGTATCAGCCAAAAAAATATGATACAAAAATACAGAAAGACACTTACTTGTTTTGTTTCTATCTGGTTGCAATGAAAAATTTTTTTTATAAAAATTAGTTTAATTAATGAAAGAATTACGTTTTTAATAACATTTCCCATACACCTAACATGTACATTTCAAAGATATAGTAAACATAAATTTAAAAAATTATGATTTATATTATTATTATTTAATAATAATTAATAATATTATTATTTATATTATTACAAATATTGTTATGAGCAGTTGATGTGTAAGGCTGATATCTTGACGGTCCCACAATGGATACTCATACCACTCTTACGTCTGCTGCAAATTGCTTTTTTATCATAATTTTACACAAAAAAAAAATTCACTCAACAAATTTTGTTAGCGATATAAATTATTTTTAAGTTTTTAAATATGCATTGAATGTTCTGTTTAATTAATTTTTTATTTTGTTTAATGTTTATCGTCTGGGGCGAGATGCATGCCTGTTGCTGATGGGGTTGAGAATAAACTACACGCAAATTTACAGGTTGAAAATTTACCAAAATGAAAAATATATCTAAAAATTGAATCATGCTGGTGTTGCGGTAGTATCAGCAGTAGCAGTATAAGTAGTAGAAGTAGTAGCAGTAGCAGCAACAGTGGTAATAGCATTGCGTCATTGATATCAAACTGTTGGGCGGCAGACCTTGGCATTTATAACTAAATTTACTTTTTCATCTTTAGAACTTGCGCGGCTCTAAAATAGATAATCACCACTATAACATAATTTCAATTTATTTTCCATCACCTCCTTCGGAAGTTTTTTTCCGAGTAACGCCAACAAACAAGGGGGAAATTAATTTTATGATCATTTATTCACGAGGTGAAATTGCAGAAAAGAGGAATTCTCACATCACATATTTACACCTATCTATATTTATCTTTCATTCTCTTTTTTTCTCTCTCTCTCTTTCCTCTCTCACACACACAAACAAACAAACACATACACGCAAGCACACACCCATTCGCGTGCAGAATCACGCATTGAAGGGAAATGATAAACAAACAACATAAATAAAACACCGCCGGGATAGAAACTGCTGTGTGTGTGCGTGTTGTGTGTGTTGTGTGTGTTGTGCGTGTTGTGTGTTTGTTTGTGTGTTTGTGTGTGAGAGAGAGAGAGAGAAAGAGAGTGTGAGGTGAAAAAATAATGAAAACGTAAGATTATGTGGCCATGCATGTATATTCAAGCATTGGATACATGGAAAAACATTCATTGGAAAAAGACAATTGTCGCTTGGCAGTCCAGTTCGGGCTTACGTAGTCAGGGATTATTGTATTTAAAAATACGTTTTTTATGTATGTTGGAATAATTTTTTGATAGCAACTCACAGCAAAATGTGGGCGAAGAAGTCGCGACAAATGATATTTAACGATGTGTTCTTAATATAGTTTTACAGTCTAAAAATAGATGTTTTCTTTATACCATAGAAAGATTTATCTACTGCAATTAAGTTTATTTCCATATTCATGTAATTCGGTGAATTTTTTGGAGTGTTGAAAATTTTTCAGTCGAAAATTTTACTTAGAAATCTTAGAAAGATAAAAAAAATATAACAAACATTTAGCGACAGATGTCAACTTATATTTTTCTTTTGTTTTCCACCCCCCCCCCTCTTTCTCTCTCTACTCTCTCTCTACTCTTTCTCTACTCTCTCTCTCTCTCTCTATCTATCTATCTTTCATTTTCTATTCTTTTTTCATTTCTTTCTATAATTTTTATATAAATACTCAGCAGCACTATAAATCAGTAATTGCGTACATTACTGGAATATAGAGCCGTGCTAACTTAATTGTGTGCTTCCTGCAATTGTAACAGCCACCCACACAACCATCGCAAACTTAACCACCCTGCTACCACCACACCACATTTATCCTACCACACCACATCATGATAGCCACAACATCATCACAACGTCATGTGATAATTGCGTCATCATAATGGTGACGTCATAATAATTACATTATCACATCACATGGGCTCGTTTTAACGTCACAATCAATCACTCTATCACACAATCATCGTCGTCACGCGTCATCAAAATCTCTCATATCATTATAAAACTTTCATCGTCATAAAATCCTTTATCACCATAAGCCCTTTTGTGATCATAACCCCTGTATCACCGTACCCAACACCATCACCATTGTCACCATCGTACGTTCGTCGACTTGTAGAATGCACCAAGCGGAATGGAATGACGTTTAATTTGTCATGATCCATGCCACATCAACGTACCTACACATACACATGCACGTACAAATGCACCTACCTACACGTGCATGAAACCCCTTGTTCAACGTGTTATCTCTCTATGTTAGTACTTGAGTGTGTGCGTGTGTGTTTGAGTGTGAGTTTGTATGCGTCCGTGTGCGTGTGTGTGTGTGTGTGTGTGTGAAAGATTGTGTGCATCAATGTGTGAACGTCAGCTCATGCATGTAGTACTGCATTTCTTTCTTAAAATGGCAATTTTTTCGAACGACAATTTACTATCACTACAGATACTAATATAATAGAATTTTTTGTAGTGGCAGTAGAAGCACCAGCTACAGTAGTAGTAGTAGTAGTAGTAGTAGTAGTAGTAGTAGTAGTAGCAGAAACAACTACATTAGTAGTAGTAGTAATGGCAGTAGTGGCAATAGTAAAAGTATTAGTATTAGCAATCAGGATAGTAAAAGTAATAGTAGTAGTAGTAGTAGTAGTAGTAGTAGTAGTAGTAGTAGTAGTAGTAGTAGTAGTAGTAGTAGTAGTAGTGTTTTCAACCTTATCAACAATGCCATTCGAACATTTCACGGTTTTATGAGAAAGTAAAATGTTAATTACATTCTTAATAAATCATGTTCTGCTCGTTGCTATGGCATTAGATAGTCGGCGTTTTTTTCTTACAAGCGCCAGCTCACACACACACACACACACACACACACACACATACATTCATATACACATACATACATACACATATATTTATATATACAAATCGAAATGTATATAGAGTGAGTGATAGAAGATTAAAAAGCCTTGAAAACATTTAAAGATAAATATGTATTAATAAATGTATACATTAAATATTGTTTATTTATAAATTTAGCATTAATCATTTACATGGACGTCACGCATTTTAATTTTTGCCTGGAACCTCCATGAATAAGGATTTGATTATGGCTGACTCGCGGAACTAAAAATAGAATATAAGTTCAAAATTGTGTAGGTTATTCTAGTTCAATTTCTATACTGAAATTCCATGGTACTAAATATTGTTTCGTTAAGTTTTTTGAAACCTTGATATGTCAACATAAATCGTCAACAGTTGATTTTTATTAGTTTTCTATACTTTATTTAGGAATATTTAAAAAATTTGTTTTAAATATAAACTGGAAAAAGATAACAGATGAAGAAAACCAAAAGGGGAATGAAGAGAATGACTTGCCTAGCTTGACGTTGACGTACTGCACGACATAGGACGACTTGAGGTAATCCACCACGCAGCTGTAACTTCCTTCTTTGCTCTCATCCATGCCAATTATTTGGTAGGATGCATATTTGTGGGGGGAGTAGGCGACAACTTGCGGATTGTAAACCCCACTAACAGTACCATTTGAGGTGCCATTTGAAGTACCATTGGCAGAAGAACATTGATCTAATGTCCTATTATTACCGTTGCTACTGTTGTTGTTGTTGTTGAATTTGTTGCAATCTTCCATCCCGTTTGAAGGTTGAAAGAGCCAGGATGATGAAGCAATGGAGGACTCTTGGAATGATGCATCGCACTGCAGGTTCCTGCTTAAATTCGCTTTCAACCACGTGATCGATGAATCTTTTGCAGGGTTTTTTTTGCATTTAAGAAGTTAGATGATGTTGTTGTATTAGCCATGGTTGTTGCAGTTTTGTTGTAGTTGTTTTTTATTGTTGTTTAATTTTATAGACATTTTATTATGCTAATGTGTGTTAGAGTAATCTTAAAGTAAAAATACTTTTTAAAAAATCACTAACGTTATGTAAAAATGAAACAGAAAACTAAATGAACACAATGTATTCCAAATAGCCTACCGTACGTGCAGTTGGTCTTAACAAAGGGACTGGAGCAGTAGCACGAGAAGTTGTAGCAGATGGACATGCATTTGAGGTCGGAAGCACATCTGACATCACAATTTATCAGCGGTTCTGTTTGGAAGGTTTCAGTTATTTGATTAACTTTTATCACTAGCAGACAATTTTTCATTTAAAACAAATAAAAAATTGTCTAAACGTATAGTGTTGTAATTTTTTTAATACAGTATATAAACGATTTCAGCATAAAATTCAAATTTCTTTTTGTGAAGCCTCTACCAGTAGAGAAAAAAGAACGCATACACACGCAATGCCACCGCAAGGATAATTTATTTTCTTCACGTGAATTTTCATTTGTTTGTAAGGAACATGCACACACGATGCATCTCATTTCATGGCGTGACAGTGCACTGAACTTTAAAATAGATGGACTCATGGACATACGCATTGGGCAGGATGGAATTGGAAACTTTACATTTTTTCCATTATTTTCATAAAATATGAAAAAATGTTTTATAAAAAAAAAGTAAATTAAGTAAATTAACTTGTTTGTATCATGACCGTTACCGATTTGAAAAGCTGAAATTTAAATTATATACTACTACTACTGCTGCTGTCGTTGCTGCAACAACTACACTACTACCACACCACTGGTGCTACTATCACCTTTTTGTTACTGCTTCTACTACTACTACTACTACTACTACTACTACTAACACAATTAAAGTTGTTAGTTATCGATTTATAAGGACAACAACATCAATAAAGTATACTAAAATAAAATGACTTAAGACTTTAACGTTTCTTAAGGCAATGAAGTAAAAAAAAACATTTCGAAAAATTTATTCAAATTTAGAAAATAAAATAAGCCTTAATTACTGAGGATCTGAAGGCTAGATTGATTGCTTGTCTCGGCAACAGTATCGAAACCGTCTCGATACGTGAATGAACAAGTATATAGACCTATGTAAAAATTATAAATATAAGAATATTGTTTAATCATGATAAGATAATTAACTGATTAAAAAATCTATTAATTGATATTATATTCTTCCTTGATAATAATATTTCACATTTTATAAAATATAGAAAAAATCAACAGTCAGGCAATGTATTGTAGAAAAATAATTTCCATGAAGTCTCTCAATCCATTTTTAAATATTACTACTACTACAACCACTATTATTCTTACTACTACTACTACTACTACTACTACTACTACTACTACTACTACTACTACCACCACCACTACTACTACTACTACTACTACTACTACTACTACTACTACTACCACCACCACCACCACTACTACTACTACTACTACTACTACTACTACTACTACTACTATACTGCCGCCAAGATAACAAACCCATCAGCATGCTTTAATTAGTTTTAACAACTACAACAGAAAAAAAACACTCACAAACAACAACAAACAAACAACCACGTACAAACGAACAAACAACAACAACAAACAACAAAGAAACGCACAGCCAAAACAAACACACGCATTCACCGAAACAGGCATCTGTTTTAAAACAGCCATCCCACAACAAACAAACCTTCGTCATTTGTCGATGCGTTGTATACAACTGCCTGATATGAATTTGCCAGCATCTCCCCATACCATCTACCCTTTTGCGGTTTCAACATGTGTGTGTGTCTGTGTGTGTGTGTGTCTGTGTGTGTGTGTGTTTCTGTGTCTGTGTCTGTGTGTGTCTGTGTCTGTGTGTCTGTGCGTGCGTGTGAAACATTACAAAGATTAATGTGACAACACTAAACAGCGCTGAATTATTTGCAAGTGTTCTTTTAATTAAGATTTCTCACGCTTCAATAATTAGCGGATCAGTTGTCAAATAAAATACTTTTTTATTCGCTGGCTTGAGAAAAAAAGAGAGAAAAATAGATAGAGAAAGAGGAAAAGAGAAAGATAGAGAGAGAGAGAGAGAAATTAATGCGTATGCGTAAACCCATACATGTACACATACACATACGTCATTATTACTCAAGAATGACATGTACTTGTACAGTTTTGCGAGTTTGAAGACTTATATTGTATAGAATCACATCTATTCGTTTGAAGCATGTATACAAAATCGATTCAAATATTCATTCTTACTTAAGAACATGAAAAATTCATAATTTATTACCCAATCAGTAAGTTATTATTACATTTATATGACAATGTACCCCAAAAAACTTACAAACCAAATTGTATTTTGTCATAAAAAAAATACTTTTTTATGAATAAATTTCAACGAAACGTCATAAAATATTTCACGCTTCTCTGCAGTTATAAACTGACAGTCATTCATGCATCAGACAGAAGTGACAGATGTCTACCCTGTTTCACTTTTATACCACAAACATTAAAAATTCAAACCGAGACAAAAATATTTTTGCTGGAAATCGCACGAATAAAAGAATGAAAATTCACATCAGATTGAATTCTGGAAGGTGTCAGACCTTTGTCGGCCATTCTGCTAAAATAATCTTCATTAAATATGCAACTCCTTCATGCATTCTCATTTTTAACTAAAAAATTCCCAAAAAACATTTAATAAATCTTAATGGAAAATTTCTTTGAAGAATATAATATTCGTTATCAATTTTAATCACAAGCAACAAACAACAAACAGAGTTACATTTGTTGGTAACATAAGATTTGAGAGGTTTCATATTACCTGGAGCGAGGCAGAAAGGAGGGTTTGATTGGTAGCTCTCTCGTAGGATGCAATCGCCTGGGACTCGTTCGATTTGCGAACATCTGTGAAGAACAGATTAAATTTTAATAAATATTTCTCCAAGTCAGAAGAACTCGACGACGATGACGACCACGACGCCATGTCGTTCTTGAAGTAGCTGCAGTTGAAGACAAACGAACAGCCTCTTTCCACGTTTATCTGGTCTAAAATAACTTTGGTTGCCACTTTGTCTAGGAACATCAGTACATTGGGAAGAGGCATGGAAAAAAAAATAACGTTACGTTATGTTATTGCTGGTTTTTTTTTTAATTTTACAATTAATGAAACACGAAAAAATATATGTTCTGTAGCATGCTATACGTTATTGTTTTATGGCTGTTACGTAATCTATTGAACTTGTAGCTCACGGCAATTTTTTTTTATTAACTAATACTTTTGTCTAAGTTGGAATTTTCAATTTTGTGAAAATTTTTTAAAATAATCATCTTTATAACGGTAATTGATTTTTGCTACCATTATTAATGTGATGTCTGATTCGTTTCATGCAGTAAATGTGTGTTGCCATCGGGTAATTAAGAAATTATTATTATATTATTAAAAATATTATTGAAATAATACTTCATATTATGAAAAATTTTATTTAATTTGTTGTTTTTTGACGGTGAGGATATATTATATTGTTTGTCACTATTGAACACATGTTACATGATGTGACAATTTGGAACAATGTTACTAAGTTAATATAAATAATAAGAAAATGGAAATTAAAAAAATCTTTTTATCGAAACTCTTACGATCTGTGATTGATAAGGTAACGTTAAATTTCAAACAATTTGCGACATTTATTGCGCGGGAAGCCTCGTCTCGTCTCGTCTTGTCTCAACTCCTTTCGTCTGCTGCACGATATGCAAAACGAAAGAAGCGCATAATTGACATGTTGATGGTGATTAGGATGACTATTAGGACGATGATGATTTCCATGGGGGTGGTTCTTATGATGGTAGTGGTTATGATGATGATTACGATGGTGGTGACAATATGATGATGGTGATTAGGATTATGATTATGATGGTGGTGATGGTGGTGATGATTATGATAGTGATTAGGATGATAAATATGATGGTGATGATGATGATGATGGTGATGATGATGAGGAGGAGGAAGCAGGTGATGACGACGACGACAACGACACCATAGACAAGGCAACTAAGAAGCAACAGATAGCATCAGCGAAATATAATGATATATATATATATATATATATATATATATATATATATATATATAAACATCTGAAGCACTTACATTTCTTATCATGATGATGAAATTGATGGTCACTAAATAATAAAAAATGAAAAAAATGAATGAATGGATGAACGGATAGATGGATGGATAGATAGATGGGTGAATAAATAAATGAATAAATAAATGAACGAATGAACGAATTAATGAAATGAACGAATGAACGAACGAATGAATGAATGAATTAATTAATTAATTAAACAAAAAAGTGTTTTAACATCATCTCCAACCAACATCTCCCCAATCATCATCATCATCATTTTCACTTTTATCACTACATATCTCCTCATGATATATATCATAATTTTATCATCCTGTTTTTCCGCATAAAACGTCACCACATTTCTTCTCATATTCATCATCATAGTAATCTTCTTCATCATCATGTTAAGCATCGTACTCCTCCATACTTAATATTAATAATACCACACAATAACACAATACAACACTTTTCATTAAAATACCTTAATATACAATACCTTATAATTATAATACCATGTTAAAAAGATACCATAAAATGAACCATCCTCATTCAATTCGATGTTACGTCGTTTTCATTACACGTTTCAATGGAACCGCACGGTACAAAAGGCTTGATATCACCAGTCGAACCTACTGCTACTTTGTTGAAACATGAGAACATACACGTGCAGTCAAGCAAGCAGACAGACAGGCAGACAGACACACCCAGACAGACAAGCAGCCAGGCATACAGACAAGCAAGCAGAAACGTACAGACACGCAGGAAGACATACATACATACATACATACATACAAGCAGATACAAAGACTGACACACACGCACAGACAGGCAAGCAGACACACAGACAGGCAAGCAGACACACAAAAACAGACATACACATACAGACAGGCAAACAGACACAAAAAACAAACCACAAACATACAGCTAGACAAGAATAAAAATTCAAAGAGAGACATGGAAAAAATCAGACACTTATTTAGACATACAGACAGCTATTGCAACATTCATTCATTCATACACACACACATACATACATGAACTATACAGACTTTCAAAAATGCATACAAGCAGGCGGACGAAGATTAAATTAATTTAACAGACAGAGAAACATGTAAGCAGACATACAAACAAACAGACAGACAGACAGACAGTGAGACATAGAAGTAGTGAGACAGGCACTCAAAGGTAGCGTAATGCAGAAAAATTAGGAAATAATCTCGTTACGTCTCCACCTCATCAACGCATATGACGCCTGCAATGATGATGATGAAGATGATGATGATGGCAGTGATGATGATGATGATAGTGATGATGAAGAGGAGGATGTTGATGACGATGATGATGATGATTGATGCAGGATCGCATGCAAATTGTCTAACGAATGAAATGACATGGAAATGATTCGCCTCTGTCGCAACACTGAAACACTGCAGTAAATTTCTGAGGCCTCGTGTGTGTGTGTGTGTGTGTGTGTGTGTGTGTGTGTGTGTGTAGTGTGTTTGCTTTGTTTATGTGTGTGTGCGTGTATGTGTATGTGTGTATGTGTGGATGGATGGGTGGGTGGGTGGATAAGTGGTATAAGTGTGTGTAAGGGTTTGTTTGCGTTTATCTGTTAGAGTTCAGTTTCGTTTGTGTTTCTGTATGATTATGTGTGTGTGTAGTGTGTGTGTGTGTGCGTGTGTGTGCGTGGTGTGTGCGTGCGTGTTTGTGTTTGTGCGTGTGTACGTGCTCGCTCGATGTTATGCATGTCACTTCGCATGTCACTTCGCATGTCACTTCTCTTAACGCGAGTCCATAAAACAACAAAGTATTAATAGCAAACAAAACAATGGTTATAAGAGGATAATAATAAAAATTATGATAATAATATGAATAATAATAACAAAATAACAATAATAATTAATATTATTATTATTATAACAAAGATATAATATTAGCAAAAAATATTATGGGAAATATGGATGGCTAAAGAAAAAAATCAAAACGCAGGAATAGAAATAACATTCCCCGACGGTATTAAATTAATATCAATATAAAAATAAATTGTTTTTAACATTGTTTTTGTTATTGATGTTGTTGGTTATCTAGCCGTTGTAATGACAACCAGTTATTCTAATCGGTGCTGTTTGTTGGCTAGTGTGATAGAAACAGTTATTGTTACTGATGTTGTTTGTTAGTTGGTGTATATTTCAGTTGTTGCTTTTACTCATGTTGTTAAAAAATGTGGCAAAAATGTAGGTATGTACGTGTGTGTATGTGTATTTGGGTGTATGTGAATGTATGTATGTAATTGTGTGTGTGTGTATGTACGTGGATTGTTTTTACGGATATGCAGAAAAAAAATATACAAAGATAATGGGACTTACCGAGAGCAATTAGGCAGGAAGATAATGCATACCATCGCAACAACATCTCAACAATGACAACAACAGCAACAGTAACAACAGCAACGATGTTGTTATGTAACTCTGATTCGTCTTTGAACACAAATTTTATTTACGATTTGCGTTGTATTGTTTTGTTTGTATTGAAATGTACGTCGTTAATTTAAAACTCTAAACAAAGCCGGCATATGCATGCGGATCGATGAAGCTTTTTATTGTAGGGACAAATGATCAGCGGACCGACAACCAACCAACAAAGCAAGAGATCAAAAATAATATCTAGCTACCACTAATAATGTATGAATGTATTTTTGGCAATCACATCAGACAACATACGCATACGTGCGTACATACGTACATAATGTCGTATGAAAAAAGTACACTGTGTAAAGGTATGGTGCTTACTGCGTGTATGCGTATGTATCGTACACGTAAAAACTTATTCATCATTTATGCGTACACAAAAACGCATGAAAAGCTACAGCATATAAATAATTATATGGATGAAAAAAGATCAAGGCAGAAAACAGTGGTACATAATATACAACACCATACAATACGAATACAATACAATAAATTGCACCATATTTGAGTATTGGATATTTATACATACGTGAATAATAAAGTTAAAACTAATGCGATATGCATTGGCAACATGTTCCAATTTATTACGAAACACGCGATTTCGAGGACGATGATTACGATGATGACGGTGATGATGGTGATGGTGATAGGAATGATGGCAATGATGATGAAGAAGAAGAAGAAGATGAGCATGATGATGAAAAAATGAAGATGATGACGACGATGAAGTTGATGATGATATGATGACGATAATTATAACGAGAATCCTGGTTTATAAATAATTATTTTGCACTCATAAGTATACAAAATAGCGAGTTATATAAATAAACACAGGTACGAACGCGTGAACGCAGCAGTGAAGCGTCAAACCGCATTTAATAATTAGAAGTGAATAAATTTAAAAGGTGAACGCCGGCACGACAAATGAACTTCATTTCTTCAACGTTTCTTCTTCATTGTAATTCAGGTTTCCGTGCAAGTGAACGCTGCTTCAAATGAACGTTAATTGTCTGTTTCGTTTTTTCTTTCTTTCATTCATTCGTTCGTTTGTTCGTTCGTTCGTTTTATCATTCATTTGTCATTCATTTTTTCATTCAGTCAGTCATTCATTCATTCATTCAATCCGTCAACGCACTTTTGCATTCGAGTTTTTTTGAGAAAGTGAAATGAATAAATTGATCTTTGGCTCTAATTTATTTTGATTCACGGAGATTTTCGTGTTTCCACATTTTTTTTAAATCTGATCAGAAAGCAGCCAGCCAGACCAGGTGTAGGCATGGTATATATTGAAATAAGAAAAAGAAATTTCGTCATACCACATGTAGAAGGTATTTTATTTATATTACATGTGGGTGTGTGCGTGTGGTGTTGTGTGTGTTGGTGTGTGTGTGTTGGTGTGTGTGTGTTGGTGTGTGTTTTCATTCATACATTTATTCGTACAATTTTTTAATTTAATCTTGTATTAAAATTAAAATATAAATATCAATAAAAATATCACTGAGTAAAAA